GTCAAGAAGCCAGGTACTGCCAAAAAAACGACTTTTGTCATAAAAATTAAGTCATCTTGTAAATAAAAGTTGATATTAAAAAATTATTCAACCTGATTTTATTATGTACGTTTATAACAATAAATCCGCCTATAGCAAAAAAACAGATTTTACTTTTCTATTTTATTAAATCGACTTTTCTTTAAATTTATTTTCAGAGTCAACTTTTCTTTACAGAATAGTCGACTTTTGATTTTTTTTGAACAAAAAATTGTAAAATCTACTTTTCATAAATTGTAAAAAGTAAACTTCTTGGTTCAACTATAGTACCCTAGTTTTACTTAATTAAGTCAATGACGACTTCTCTTTTCATAAATTCAATATTTATAAATGGTTTTAAAAGCCAAATTGACGACTTTTAAAAATGTTATTCGAAACCTGGCGACTTTTTAGCTAAAACATCTGGCAGCTACGTGTGTGGGATTTATTATAAATAGTTGGCGCTTTGGGTCGAAAGTTTTTGTAACATTTTGGGTCTCATCTGGAATTGTTCAGCCTTCCGACCGCGTGTGTATTTTATATTTTTAAAATTATTTTATTTTAGCACCGGTTCTATGAAATAAAATAATAATTTTTATACATTTTCTTTTTATTCTAGGGCTTTAATTAATATTTAACCATAGCTCCTACAACAGAAATTAGTAAAAAACGCAAAATGTCCAAACCTGCCTACAAAGTTGGTAAGTAAAAATGTGCTGGTGAAATTATTTTTTACGACTTTAGACATCTGTGACGAATGTTTTTAGCACATTTTTATTAAATAAAAGTTTATTTTATTTAGCTAAAATGTTGAATCTCTAGCACGTTTCTTATCTTGGTTTATATTTCTTTCTTTTTTCAATTTTATTGCTGTGTGTAAAAAAATTCAACAGCTGACATCAAATTGGCCGAATGGGGACGCAAGGCTATTATTATTGCCGAAAATGAAATGCCCGGTCTTATGGCTTGCCGCAAGAAGTACGGCCCTTCCAAGATCTTGAAAGGTGCCCGTATTGCTGGTTGTTTACACATGACTGTTCAAACTGCTGTACTCATTGAAACTTTGGTTGAATTGGGCGCAGAGGTAAGTGAATATTTGAGAAATTTGGCTCGTTAAAAGAATAACCACAATTTTGTGGTTTGATTTATGCTGTATTGTAAAAAACTATATTGTTACATCTTATTTATTTGTTGTAATTTTTACAAATCGTGTACATTAGAGGAAAGTGTTATTTTATAGTCCTCCGTATTTTTCAAAAATTCGGTAATGCTCTATTAGAAATTTGAATCAAGTGATATTCTAAAAGTATAATACCTATTTATTGGGATATCCCATTTTGAATACAAAAAATGTAATTAAGATTCCGAATTTTCATTTGAAATTCCATGCGCAATTAGGATTTTTATTATAAATTCAGAAAAACTCGATTAAAATTGTGGATTTTTTCTGAAATTTAAACCAAATTCAAACTCGAAAACTAAAGCTGTACTTTATTTTTGAATTCGAAATAAAAAGTACTTTTTCAAATTGTTAAAAGAACCACCGGGATATATAGTATGTACTACGTTTGATACGCCTTGAATGACCTTGTTGAAACATTTTAATGAAGAAAAATTATACCTCAATATAGAACTTTCAAAAAAAAATAAAAATATTGCAGTTATTTCAACAGAAAATCAGGAAATATATAAATATTTTTTATAGCGCATTAAGTGCAATGTTTTCTAATCTTTTAATATGTTCTTAATACTTCCACTATTTTTTATGAATTTTTGTTGTTGCTTTAATATTTTCCAATTTCATAAAGTTTTTTTACGTTTTAAATGAAGATGAAACTCTGCTTAGCTGTTTATTATGTAGTCAATATGAAAAATAAACAAATTAACATATTAATCTTATCTTTTTTTAAAAACAAACAATTCAATGCTAAAATATCTTCCCCCCGTAAAGAGGTCATCTCTTATTTAGAACCTTCGTTATCAGTCATCAGTATTCTATTTGTTGAAATCGTCATCTGTTGGCTGTTATTTTTGTTGTCAAAGCATTAAACATTAAATTACGAACGTGATTAAAAACATTTCTTTATAGAGTTCAGAGATCAAATGAAAAATTGTTTCACTTTTATTTGCTTCCGTTATTAGTAGTGACATCTGTTTTCTTCTACTTTTTTTAGGTTCAATGGTCTAGCTGTAACATTTTCAGTACCCAAGATCATGCTGCTGCTGCTATTGCCGCTACTGGTGTTCCCGTTTATGCCTGGAAGGGTGAAACCGAGGAGGAATATCAATGGTGCATTGAACAAACTTTAGTCTTCCCCGATGGACAACCTTTGAATATGATTTTGGATGATGGTGGTGATTTGACCAACTTGATCCATGAAAAATATCCTCAATATTTGCAAGGCATTAAGGGTTTGTCTGAGGAAACCACCACTGGTGTCCACAATTTATACAAAATGTTCAAAGAGGGACGTTTGGGTGTACCAGCCATCAATGTCAATGACTCTGTCACTAAGGTATGTTGTGTAGTCTAGAACAAGCCTAAACCTCCAGATTTTTATATTTTTTTTATTTTCTCTTGTAGAGCAAATTCGACAACTTGTACGGTTGCCGCGAATCCTTGATTGATGGTATTAAGCGTGCCACCGATGTTATGATTGCTGGCAAAGTTTGTGTTGTTGCCGGTTACGGTGATGTTGGCAAGGGTTGTGCTCAAGCCTTGAAAGGTTTTGGTGGTCGTGTCATTATCACTGAAATTGATCCCATCAATGCTTTGCAAGCTGCCATGGAAGGCTATGAAGTTACCACTATGGAGGAAGCCAGCAAAGAAGCCACTATTTTCGTTACCACCACTGGTTGCGTTGATATTATTACCGGCGAACACTTCTCCAACATGAATGATGACTCCATTGTCTGTAACATTGGTCATTTCGATTGTGAAATCGATGTTGCCTGGTTGAATGCCAATGCTGTTGAGAAGGTCAATGTTAAGCCTCAAGTAGATCGTTATACTTTACCTAATGGTCGCCATATTATTGTTTTGGCTGAAGGTCGTTTGGTCAATTTGGGCTGTGCCCATGGTCACCCCAGTTTCGTTATGTCCAACTCCTTCACCAACCAAGTTTTGGCCCAAATCGAATTGTGGACTAAGTCTGAGAAATATGCTATCGGTGTTCATGTATTGCCCAAGATATTGGATGAAGAAGTTGCCAGTTTACATTTGGAGAAATTGGGTGTTAAGTGACAAAATTGACACCTAAACAATCTGAATATTTGGGTGTACCTATCAGCGGTCCATTCAAGCCCGACCATTACAGATATTAAGATTTATTTGATATACCCATTGTATTTTAAGTTTATGATCTACTTAGAGATTTTGTTTGTAGTAAAAAAAAACGTTGCAAATTTTTTTGTTTCTAATAAAATATTGATTTGACATCTAAAAAAATAAAATTTTTTTCAAGACATCTTTAGGCATAACATCCACTCGGGGTGATTTCAATTATGTAATTATTACGATCTATTTTCTGATCAGAGAGTATGTACATATATCGGAATGGTATTCTGAAACAGGGGTATAATTTTTTGTGTACTTCTATTCGAATCAAAAAATGTTCTTTCCTTTTTATTTTATATTTATAATCAAAAAAGTTTTTTGTATCGACCGATAATCTAAAATCACTAATTGAGAAATATATAAATCCTTGCTATTAGGACAACAAATATCGACAACAAATTTTAATATTTTCTATTAAAGGCGATCAGATAAATTTATAATCTTAAAAATGTATTATTTTTTATAATAATTTTTTTATATTAGGGCTGAAAATTTGTAATAAAAATTCAAAGCTTTAGGAATTTTGAATTACATATGTAATTCGCTTCTCATTGAATTAAGGAACTTCATTTTTCCATCCCAGTTATAAAAAGAAATACTTGGAGAATTTTATATAGCTATAGCTATATTTTATTGAAATGTTTGTTCATTTCCTCGATAATTTTTGAGTTACTTTGAAGCTAGTCATAAGAAGTTATCAAAAAGTTAACTTGATTTTTAGTTAACTCACAAAATCCTACAGGGTAATTTCCAGCATAACTGATTTATAACATTTTAAACTCACATACATATATATAAATGTATATAATTAGGTTAGTTGTACAAACATTACCAATTATAATATATATTAATCATATATGGCCCTTTAGGGCTCGATTAAATAAAATGAAATAAATAAAAAACCCTGGCCGGCCAAAAACGCTATACATAACAGCCCGATGTCCTTAATTTATAAAAATTGTTATGTCGTCTATCAAATTTTATGAAGCGATAGGTTAATAGGAGGATACTTCATGGAAAATATTTGCTGGTGAAATCTAAAACCTTATATAGTATTCACTAAATGTAATTCCTTATATCCTATTATTCCAGATGACTTCCAAGATATTTGGATCATATTTCCGCAGAAGCCTGAAACGATATCTGGAAATCTGAGATTCGGATTCAGCGCTGCTCTTTCCATTAGAAAAATAAAATTTGGTCTCTGGTTTTCGTTTTTTTTTTTTTAAATTTTGTTTACCTGTGTTATATACAAAAAAAAAAAATTATTACAGTGTATTTTTGATGTCAACACTGTCATTATTAATGTCATTTATGTATTTAATATGGCAATACCTCTAGTTCATTACGGCTACCATTTCTCAGTGAATTGTAATCTACAGTGTGTAACAACTAAACCACATCAAACAATATTTTAAATAAATATTGCAATTTTCCCATTTAAAAGTATTTAGGCACTTGTAATAAGCATATTTTGTACAAAATTAAATAAAAAATACCTAAACGATAAATTCATAAGATCCAGTAGAAAGAGTTGGCATCTGAAGTAAAAAACTACAGCTGCAAGTTGCTGGTAATGTATGGTAACTTTTGTTAGCTACTGTACAGCACATACACGTGTTTATTTCATTTGACAGGCCACGCAAAACATCGTGGTCTTTTTAAGCACTCAGTCAACAATATCGGACAAAGATAAAAAAGTTTTATTTTCATTTAAATTCTAAATTAAAAGTGAATTAAATTCTTTAACATGGGCTTTGGACGCGGAGGCGGTGGAGGAGGACGTGGATTTGGAGGTGGTCGCGGTGGCGGCGGAGGCCGTGGAGGTGGTTTAATAAAGGAGGCGGCGGTGGTGGCCGTGGAGGTGGCGGAGGCGGTGGCTTCCGTGGAGGACGTGGTGGCGGTAGCTTCAGGGACCAGGGTTCCACCAGATCGTGTTATTCCCCTAGGTCATTATTCCTACAAATGTGAAGACGATTTGGTCTGCAAAGTAGAAATCGATGATGTTCCATACTTCAATGCCCCAATTTATTTGGAAAACAAAGAGCAAATTGGTAAAATTGATGAAATTTTCGGCACAGTGAAAGACTACTCGGTCTCTGTGAAGTTGTCCGACAACATGAATGCCAGCAGTTTTAAACCACAACAGAAGTTGTTTATTGATCCCTCAAAACTCTTGCCCATTGCAAGATTTTTGCCAAAACCACCTCAACCAAAAGGTGCCAAGAAGAAGGGTCCAGCTGGTGGTGTTGGTAACCAGAGAGGAGGTCGTGGTGGTGGTGGCCGTGGAGGCGGTGGCGGCTTTGGTCGCGGAGGTGGTGGTGGGCGTGGAGGCGGTGGCGGTTTTGGCCGCGGAGGTGGTGGTGGCGGCGGCGGGTTTGGCCGTGGAGGTGGTGGTGGAGGACGTGGCGGTGGTGGTGGTCGCGGAGGTGGCCCGCCCTCGTTGGTAAAATTATATCCATATGTTATAAGCATTTTTAGAAGAGCTCCTGAGGTTACCGCACTATTTAGATTTAAGTAGACTTTCTAATATGAATGTATAAGTACTTTTATAAAATATACGATTTCTGTGTATATTAGTAACAAACAATTTATACATTTTAATTATTACTAAATAACAATGTCCGAATGTTTTTTAGAATAATATTAGGATTTAAGTACATTCAAGTGTACAAGAAATGTTTAAAACTTAATAAGTTTTTTTTTCTAAAAACAACCATTGTAAATTTTGTGTTTTCTTTAATCTGGAATCCATATCCTAGATAAATAACTGGGAAAGAGAAAAAATGAGGCGTCCAGAAATACGATTTTTTTTTTATAAAAACAGTTTTTATAAATTTTAACATATTTTTTCAATTAGTTTTCTTAAAAATAAAGTTTTTTTTATCTCTATGCAGTATTTTGCAAGAAATAAAACATTTCTCGATCGAAACTCATTCGATCGAGAAACGTTTGAACAAATCGGTCGATTTCAAATTGTTTATGGAATCATAACATATCGGATGTTTGAAATTTTAAAATCAATATTAAATAAATTTTAAATTATAAAAATTTCAAAGTTAAATGGTTTATTCTTTGGTTAAATGTATCTAGAGCTCGTCGTCGTTTTATAAATTTTAACAAAATAATATTCTACTTTGCCGAATATATACTTTTCACTATAGTATGTTTAAAATAAGGTAAATTTATAAGATTTAATTTTTAATGAAATTTTTAGAAGTTGTCTCGGATTTTTCCTTATATCTCCGTTATTTATGAACGGATTTTGCTGAAAGTATGTCTGACAGAATTATTGTAGATTTAGATTCCGAAATATCTGGGGTCTGCAGAAAATCGATTTCAACAGATAGACTGATGGACATGGTTTATTCGACTCCGCCATCTATAAGGATCCAGAATATACATATATACTTATAGGGTCGGAAAATTATGAATGATACTTTTGTCGAAAACTTAAAATTAGCTCTAAATTAGTAAAACACATTTGAATTTTATGGACAAAAAAGGGGGTAAATGTGGGCCTATTCTTATAAATTTTGTTAGAGAAATGTTACGCCTGAATTAAAGTTATTTTATACAGAATTTTATCGAGTTATTAGTGTTTATAAGTCATTTTCAAAAGATCTGTTTTGGCGATACGGTTGTATGGGGCCTATGCGAATAATGGACCGATATTAACCATTTTGAATTCGTTAGCGTAAGCACAAGCTTTACATGGACAGACAGACGGACATAGCTAAATTAACATCAGGACAAACGCATAATATTCTCCCCACAATGGCGGTGGCAGGGTATAATAACATTATTTAAAATTTCCATTTTCTACAAATCAGCCTTGACTTCGTTAAAACGCATTTTAAGCAAAAAGATCTGATTTTTTTATCATCCACATTCTCTTTCAAAATTGATTTTGTGACTGAAACCCTAAAATTGGCTCCAAATTCGATAAAACTCACTTAATTTATAATCACTCATATTTTCCTTCAAAGATAGAAAAATAAAATCAGCTCTATTTTCTTTGAAGCACATTTAAATTTAAAATAGAATCGTATATTGTGATCATCTATATTATCTTTGTGATAAAGAGTATAATCGATTTATCACTGCCTAGTTTAATCGTTTTTAGTGACGAAAATCCCAGCAAGATGTCGTTATATTATAATTTAACTCTATTAATTGATAATCTGTGGACAATTAGTACCAACAATTTTTTTATCAGAAATTAGTAAGCGACTTTTTATTTTTAGCAACTTCATAGCTACATTAGACATGTTCACTTAAAATAAATTGGCTTTGAAAGTTACCAGTTACCAGAAAGTTAATTTTCTACAGAACACAAGATTTATTTCAAAACTTTAATAACTCCTAAATAAGAAAATGCTAATATGTTGATATTTCATGCTACAATTTAAGATTTGCTATTAAACATTTCTGTAAATCAAAAGTAGACGTAACTAAGACCTGACATTTTTAAGGTCCGGTCTAATGAAAATAAGATAAGATTCCCAATAAAATCTAGTACCCAATAAACTTTCAAGTGGCAACATTTTTATTAATCTCATATTATATTCACATCACACCGAAACCCACTAGATTGAAATAACATTCAGAGACTCACGTAGTAGATATGAGCGGTGCTATAATTTGAGAGCGTGTAGTATTAAAAAACAACTCTAAAAGTCTATAACCTGCATAATACAAAAGTAAATTCACATTACTTGTTGAATCTTTAGATCAAAATAAACAAAAAAATATTTGTAAAATTTACGGTGAATTGCTAAGAAAACATTGAAGAAAATGTGATAAGAAATTAAAAAAAATAATAATTTACTAGATCCTCGAAATTATTACAGAATAAAATACACAAAATTACAGAGTCTCTTGCGAAATATCAAATATTTTATAATTACATACATATTTACAGTAAAAAAAAAGTGTTATTAAATAACTACTACGTGTAAAGAAAAAACAATGCATTTTCTAAAAGCTTTACTAATATGGCTTCTATCTGTAATGGTGCGTCATGGAATTTCCTCACCATTACAACAAATAACAACTGCCACTATGGGCACACGATTTAGAAGGGAATCAGAACCTCAGTGGCATGTAGAATTTAATCCAAAAAATATGACTGCTCATATGGATACATTGGAAAAGGTAGAAGTAACAATTACAAGTAAGTTTGCAACGTTTAAAAAATAAAATGTTCATGCAATTAATTACAAGTTTTATATTATATATTAGATTTTAAATTTGTTGCAAAATGGAATTTTAGGTGGAGCAGAAGTTTTATATTAAAATTTTTAAATAGTGTCTTTTAATAGAAATGTTTTTTTTAAAACAGTAAACTATTTATTTTAAAATTTAATAGAATTATCGACTGGTTTCAAATTTGAAATCAATTTTAGTTATCTTTAAGAAATATATCAAAATCCATCGTTAATCAATTGTTTTCTAAGTGCATATCTAATGTTGAAACACGCATTAATACAAAAATGACCTGTAGAATCTACATTTATTTGTAAAACTTAGATATTATTGGCCTCCGGTAGGTTAGTGGTTAGTAATCTAGTCTGCTAGACCGGAGGTGGTGGGTTCGATTCCCACCTGAGGCACTAACTAGATATTATTTAAATACATACATACTGTAAGAATTTAATACATTAGGGTGGTACTTAATAAGATATAAACTTTTTCATATAGCCATTTGTGTGGCATTTTAATTAAAAAAGTTATTCATATTTATACCCTACACCACTATAGTGTGGAGGGTATTATGCGTTTGTGCTGATGTTTGTAACGCCCAAAATATTGGTCCTATACCCACCTTAATGTATACCAATGGTCTCGATATCTCTTTCTGAGTCGATTTATGGTCAATTGATGGTCAAAATTCACTTATAAACACCAATATCACGATAATATTCTGCATAAATAACTGATGTAGACGTAAATCCATCACCCAAAATATATAGGGAAAGGACCATATTAACCCCCTGGCTCCATATAACCCGTCTTTTAGAAAGAAAGAAAAGGGGTCTTATTTTACGATCACTTACATTTCCCCTCAAAATTCGATTAGCGGTCAATAATTTAAAATAACTTTAACAATGAATTTTAAGTATAAAGAGCCCTCCATTTCTTTAAAAACTTTGAATCGGCCAAATATTGGTTTTTGAATAAAAAAAAACCGTAATATAACAGCGTGAAATTTGTTATGAATGTTAAAAACAACAATAATTTCCGAAAGTACTGATATTCCCTTTATTTTCCGACAAAAAATCTATATTTTACGCCACCCTAATTACATGTCATTAAATGAAAGACAAACACATTTTCTGCTGTCCATTATTTTCGTTCATAGAGTACCCTTCTGATTTGACCATATAATTAGAAGAGATATTTATGCCTAAAATAGCAAAACTAGCGTTATCGCTAGATAACCCTGTCATTAACGTTATACTTATTATAAGAAAATATTTTCGATAAAATCCATTTAATAAAGATATTTCTTTTCAGATATTGCTGTTGAAAATTTAAATTACATATCCTTCAGATTTAAATCTGATAATAATGATTTGGCTCGAGTGGACGATATCGTAATGGGAACTCAAGTTGATCGCCTAAAAAGAAGTTGGCATGGAAATATAACCATTGATGTAATATTCTTGGGTTCGACTCGAATTAATGTTGAAATGAGCAATAGTTTAGATAATACCACAGAATTAAGTAAAGAATCTTTTGATTTGATTATAATACGTAAACAGCGTGTTATTGATCATGTTTTTACCGGGTCTGTAATTTTATTGGTGTCTTTGTTGTATATTAATTTTGGTGCTGCCTTAGATTTGCACGTTTTAAAAGGTCTTATAACAAGACCTGTGGTAAGTAGGGATTTAAATGAACATTAAATTGAATTCCTAATGTAATATTATATTTTTACAGAGTCCTGGTATTGGTATTATATGTCAATATGCTTTTATGCCTTTACTTAGTTTTGCTGTGGGCTATTTTATATTTCCCGATAATTTGGAAATGCAATTGGGCTTATTTTTCACCGGCGTTTCGCCTAGTGGTGGTGCCTCGAATATTTGGACGGTTATATTGGGTGGTAATATTAATCTTTCGGTATTATTGACTACCATAACTAATTTGGCTGCATTTGCTATGATGCCTTTATGGATTTTCACCTTGGGTCATGTTATTTTTACACGCGGCAATTTAAAAGTGCCTTATGCTAAAATTGCCACATATTCTATAGGATTAATTGTACCCTTAGCCATTGGCTTGGCTATACAAAAATGGGCACCACGTGTTAGTCGCATATTGGTGCGTCTTTTAAAGCCTATTTCCACATGTTTAATAGTATTCATTATAGTGTTCGCTATAGCCACTAATGTGTATTTATTTAAGTTATTTTCTTGGCAGGTAAGTTTGTTAAAATTTAAATATATATTTTAAGAGATCTCAATTTTTTCCTTTTTATTTCTTTTTGCAGATTATTCTAGCAGGGTTGTTACTACCCTGGTTAGGATATATTATATCCTGGTGTGTGGCGAAGACATTTAAACAAAATTCAACGGATGCCTTAACCATAGCCATAGAGACTGGTATACAAAATACGGGCATTGCCATATTTTTATTAAAAACCTTGCCACAACCTCAGGCGGATTTAACTATTGTTATACCAGTGGCCGTTGATATTATGACCATGTTTCCACTGGTGGGTTTATATATTTATAATAAATGTACTGGGCGTAATATAAAAGATGGAGTTTTAACCGAAGACCAACAAAATATTAGGCCTTAAATTATTTATGTAATAAATAGTGATAGTAAAGAATTTAAGGTTTTTGTATTAAAACAAACAAGCCATTAGACATTAGTAGTACTCCATTGTTCCATTCGTGCAATTTATGTATAGATCGTCTTCCATTTAAAATATCTCAAGTTTTAATAACTAAATATTGTTATTTTTTATAAATTTAAATACATACCTTTATAATTGTTAATCAAAAAACACATCTTTTATTTTTAGCTGAAAGTAACCTTTTAGGCACTTGTTGCTTGCAACACTTTTAATAAACATTGTGTAGTTGATGCATCCAATTGAAGTTTTTGAAATTCTTTTATATAACCAATATAATTAACTGGAGGCTGAACAATTAAATTCATTAAATTTGGTGTAAGTTGATAGAAAATTATGACAGCTACCAAACGCGCAACATCTTGGCTTGAAAGATTAGCTATAATATGTGGTTCAAAGTCACGTGAACCTATAAACTGTCTTAAGGGTAAAGACAACTGTTGACGACAGTTATCGATGAATGTTTGAAATTGTTCAATATAGGCCAATATCAGCTCTTTAGAGAAAAGTATATGAGTGTGTAATGCAGCAAATAGGAGCTCATCAATTTCAATTGCCAAATATCATTGAAATTTAGTTGTTGCGTTTTCAAGTGTAAAACATGCTAAAATTAATAATTATCATTACTAAAGTTTATTTTTAAAGAATTTAGTTCAAAAACTTACATTATAAGTGGCCAAGTAAATGGGTAAAACATGCATTTTGTCCTTTACAACTGCATTGTAAAATAACATTGTTAAATGCTGTTTTAAAGCTAATTCTCCGGATGAGGTTTCTGTTTCATCCAAATGCAACAAGCGATCTGTAAATCCTATAACATATGGCTCATTTGAAAATCGTTCCAATGTTTTGGGATCTATTTCCCAGCAAACGCTTTGTTCTGTCGTTAAAGTTTGTGAGAATAGACTTTTCAGGCGATCGGGATCCTCTAGATGCGATAAACAGCCCGAACGTTTCTTAATCTCTATACAAGCTGAATTTTCCAAAGCTTTACTGTAACATATAAAAACAAAGTGAATATTGTTAGAAAACCAAGTACTTCTTGCTAAAAAGTTTAAAATATTCACTCACACTAATTGATTCCAATTACGATCCTTTTCAAAAGATACTGGCCAATAGTTGGGATCATCTACTACAACTTTCTGTAAAGTATTTAATTCAGGCAACATACAGGGAGCCATAGGTAAACGTCTCAACTCCTTAGAGCCAATTTCCAATACTGATATATTACATAAACATAATTTCCGTGTGTCTATATCACGGGGCAAAAACAGACGAGGTTCTACAGCCAAAACATAAAGATGCCGGAAAGCTTGTAGATGATATCTATAAAAATACATTTCATATACATATAAAGAAACTATTTTCTAAATATCTAACATACCTGTTATCATTACTGTGTGTTGGGAACTTTGGAAAAAGAGCACATACTAAAGCTGCCACTGCTTCCGGAGTTTTGGCTATGGTAAAACGACCGGCACCCAAAAATAGAAATCCTAAAGCCATGTGTATTGCCATATGAGAACCATAAGTTACATGAGGATGTTGTGTACCAATTCTGGAACGTAAATAGCGTATAATGCGGAGTATTTCTAAATCACCCGATCCGGCAAACACCAATGATATGGCTAGTAGAATAACCATAAGACTGTTCTCTATAGTTGTGCGTCCAGCAAATTCGCCCACATATTTTCCAGAAAATCCCAAAAACAATTTTTAGCTCTTCTAAGGGTTTTGAAGGCCACGGGATTTTCGGTACCAGCATATTTTAAACCAATACAAAAAGCTGCACCCGCAATAATATTACAATAAGCTTGCCTATAAGAAGATAAAATATTATACATTTAGAATGAATTCAGTTCTAGTTCAATTCTATTCTGTTCTGTTTCAGTTCTAGCTCAATTCTAACTCAGTCCAATTCTAGTTTAGTTCTAGTTCTACTTCTTTTCTTAGGTGCACTACTTACGTTATGGCTTCATGATCGATATCCTCATTTTCATTAACTTGTGCTCCCTTTTCTACATCAAATCTTAAATTTACAGGGAATTGATTGTGCAGCCATTCTTCATCCGGCTGAACATCACTCCACATTATTAAACCATGAGCAATTGTGCGTAGTAATAATAAATCGGGCCGTACAAGATCTAACAAATAACGTGTATTTGGTGGATTCATCCATTCAGCAACAGCTTTATTATCGGTATTATAAAACATAAGACCAAGTGCCAGAGTAGCTCCGGGAGCTGTAACATCAATATTAACCTGATCACCTTCGCGTACTTGGAATGAGGGTAGTTTATATTTTTCTTTTTGAGAACCAGTTAGCAAACGTTTATTGCCGCCCACCATATAATAGTGCAAAGTATCGGGTAATTGTAGATCTCTTAAGCCTGCCGGAGATTCACCCTGTCCTAGAGTTACTAAACCTAAAGCCAGACCAGCTGTTAAGGCATACGATTCTCTCTCAACACAATTTTCCATTTCGGGTCCGGGAGGTCGTCCCACTTCTTGCAATAAAACCTCGGCTATATGCCTTTTCGCGGTACCTTGGTACAATAGACCAATGCCCATTAAAGAAGCCACCTGTATATTTTGGGGAATATCTAATTCCAAGGCGGTGGCTGGTAATAAAGCCTCAATGTGTACACTTAAGAGTTTAGTGGTAGTGTTATTCATAGTACCTCTATGAGTGGCTGATATTCCCAAGAGCAAACCCACACTGGTCATTTCATCACACTTTACTAAGTATTCGTAAATACTCATGAAAGATAAAGTCTTCAAATGATTATTCAAGCCGAGAGCCATTAAAAATCCTGCATGTTCTGTAGATATCTCGGCTTGTCCTTTTGGCTTATTGTAAACAATCCAGGTGGAGTCTACATCACGCGCATTTGGTGATATTTTCAGGCCAGCTGCTACACCATTATGAAATGTTGGCCATAAACTCATATTGGCGGGAAATTCAATTTGTTGCATTTCAACAGTGGCTCCTTTAATGGGTTCCTTGCCGGTTAGACATAGTTTTGGTATGGGCATGGATTCGGTTGGTGTAGGTATGGAAGTTCTTAAAGTAAACATACCCCTACCCAAAGGCAAAGTCATGGTTCGAGTACACAAGGTAAATAATTGTTTTTCTTGCTCTTCAATAAATTCATGATCAGAAGTGCCGGGCGATTGGGTAATATCTATAATTACGGGCTCTGATGATGTTAACAGTCTACGAACTTCTGTTATGCGCATATCATCAGGATAACGTAGACTTAAAAGTTTGGTATCTATATTATCCATGCCATCATCTAAAGCACCTTCCATCTGGGATATACCACTTTTAGAAGGTGGACAGCGAGCAGATAATGAATCTTCTGTGTCTATATTCATGTTTTGCAAATAATTTGAACTTTTATTTAGTGTTGCAAAATCACAATTATGTAATTTAGCATGAGCAACTAAATCAGAGCGCAAAATTAATTCATATGTAGCAGGTGAGCAACCTATAGGTGGTTCTAATCTAGAGTATTCCAAACATTCGGATATTATTAAGTGTACAGCTACCGGTAAATGTTCTATATCTTTACGTGTCATTTCTGTGAATGAAATTGATATTGAAATAACAAATCATTTGATATACTTTAGATTTCACTCACTCATATTGATTAACATTTGTATAACCTGTTCGGATCGGGAGACATTAGTTGATATAAATCTTTTGGGTTTTTTAGCAAAAAATGATTGTACAGAATCGGTAAATTCAAACGGTTTTATCCAATGTTTGATTTTATTAGTGCCATGCATAACAAGTGAGACCACCTTGATTAAAAAGTATACAATTACAGAGATAAGATGTAATTAAATGACAAAATATTGTATATATTTACCTGTAAAACATTGCGACTTAAATCATTTATACCTTCCACATAATTATAGGGCAAAGTGTCTTTATTTCGTATTATAAATTCCAGTTGGTTAAAAACACTAGGAGCTTGCACCTGTAAAAGTTCCTTATAGGACATTTGAGAACCATGTTGCTCGGTTAAAATACAAGTTTTGGAACAATTTTTCACCAGCAAAGGAAAATCCATAGCATAATGAAATGTATACGATTGTAATTGCATATCGTAGGCTAATTGATGCAGAAACTATTTAAGGAAATACCAAACATTTTGTAATATTTATTTGAAATTGTATTGCTTTATTTACCTTGGCTAATGGCAACAAATGTGCATGCATAGTATCGTCCAATTTAAAATCCTCATAGAGTAAATGAAAACTATAAAATATAGCCGGTATGGTATTGAATAAACAAGCCGTAGTATCAATATTTGTACATTGTGAATTATTTTCTTTTGGTGGCTTATTATCTGAACCTTCTAGAATGGACAACATAAATTGCCAATCTTCTTCGGTACCCGAATGTATTTCATCATTTTTCTTTCTTTTCTTTGGCTCCTCAGCACTAAACGATGTAGCAGTGTTACTGCTATAATCATGCATAACAGCTGAAAATCCCATTAGATCTAATAAAACATTACAAAATATTTCCCATTCTTGTTCGATAGAATAATCTCGTGATCCGGGCGGATTTCGTGCTCCATACCATTTGGTAATAAGCTGTATGTATTGATCTTTTTTGAGGACTTGTTTTAAAGCTTTGATGCAGCGAGTAACAAATTTAGTTTCATTTATTAAGGGCAAGGAAATGCGCAACATTTTCCCCGAACTATAGACTAAAGTAAGACGATTAACGGCCGGATCACGTAGACCCAAACAAATGTTGCTGTTTCTGAAATCAGAATATTTCAGAATACTTTATTTAAAGTTGTCTTATTATCGAAAATGTTTCTCTACTTACCTATTGGAAAACTGCGGTTGCAGGGGGTGTACTGGTGATAGCAAATGTAACTCGTCTTCAAAAGTAGTGTCTCCTGGTTTTTGTGCTGAAGGCAAGAGACTACTGCGACGAGGAAATGAA